AAAAAAACATTATTAATAATACTTACATATTCACAACTAGTAATTTTAAATGTGTTATTCCTTTGAGTTAACAACATCTGGGAAGCCACCACATTCTATCCAGCCCATGTTCATTTTATCATAAAAGTAGTAGAGTTTCAGTATCTTTGTTTAGAAAAGTTGCAAGTTAAATAATCAGGTTTGTAAGCATATTGTTATTGGTCTGAATATCATCATGATTCCTTACACTAGTACATAGGCGCTGACTCTGTGTGCTCTGAGGCTGGAGCACCCATGGGAAAAAATAGAGGGTGCTCAGCACATATCAACCACCCGCCAATCAACTGTTTGGCAGGCCCCACCGATCAGCTCCTCCCCCATCCCCTCCAGCACCTCCTGCCCACCAACAATCAGCTGTTTGGCAGTGTGCAGGAGGCGCTGGGGGGAGGGAGAGGAGCAGGGACAGGAAGAGGTGGAGCGAGGGCAGGGCACGCTCGTGAGAGAGGGTAGAGTGGGGGTGGGAATAGATGGGGTGGGGTGGGGTGGAGCTTCAGGGCAAGGGTGGAGTAGGAGTGGGAAGAGGCAGAGCGAGGCTGAGACTTTGGGGGGAAGGGGTGGAGTGAGGGCGGGGCTGAGTGGGGGTGGAGCACGCTTGGGGAAAGCTGAAAGTGGGCATCTGTGCTCCAGAAGTTCATGAGTAGTGTTTCGTTGTTCTGGATTTAGAGCAAGGGTCTCAAAGTCCTGGCCTCTGGGCCATCTGCGGCCTGAGAACCTCCCCACTGCGGCCCGCGGAGGAGAGATGCAGGCAGACATGCTCCCAGCAATGTCTGCTACAGGCGCCACCCCTCGCAGCTCCCATTGGCTGGGGGGAAAGGGACAGAGATATCATCATTAGTTGCCGGGCAGAGTCAGCCATGGAGGCATCATCGCTTTTTTCCACAATGAATATAAACAAGTCAAAATACCAAACACAACTATCTGATGCACACCTTGCTGCAGTCCTGAAGGTTTCAACTGCCCAGTCACTGAGGCCAAACATCAACAAACTGACAGAACTGAAGCATTGCCAGGTGTCTGACAAACACTAAAAACTCCATGGCAGGTGAAGAATTGTATAAAGTTGTGTGACAGTTTTATTATTTCTAAGAAATTCGAAATAAAAAAATACAATATAAACATTTTCTGAACACCATCTTCAGTGACATTATTGGCCTGCTGGGAGGATTTGAGGACTGGCACTGGCCCTAAGGCAAATTGAGTTTGAGACCCCTGATTTAGAGAAAGAGGTCTTTAAATCCATTTACCCCCTACATGAAGGACTATCTTCTCCCCTATCTCCTCCAGCCATTCCCTAAGGACAGAGAGTGGAAACATTATCAGGCATATTTTCGTTAGCTATTTCTGGGTGGGAACTATTTGCGGGTGGTGTATTTGGTGGGGGTATGGTGAGAAGGTAGTAGTGTTTGACATTTGCTCATTTATGGAATGAGCATTTGGAATGGTATTTGCTCATCTGATGGACAAAGGGACTACTTGTTCAGTGTGGAGGGAATTGGTTTTGTTGTGTTTTGTTTTATCTTAAGTTTCTGTTACATGTGACTGTGGTAGAACTGGTAGTTGGAGAAAGAGGGGTATTTTGGTACATTCAGCAGGGCATTGACAGACCTCTCCTTTGGATGGTTAATATTGTGCATGTAGGAAGGGTTGAGGGTAATGAGAGAGGTGAATGTGATATCCCTGGTCTTAAGTGGAAGAGGGAATAGGAGGATATAATGACCCTCCTGTCCTAGGTGTGGATGAGAAACCTGCTAGAATGAGCTGGCCAAATTTTCAAAAGAGTTCCAGAGCCAATGTGACCAACTATTGAAAAATCTTGCCCTAAAAGACAGAAATCACCTGCCTTGTCTCCCCTTGTGACCATCACTAAAGGAAATTCAGAGAATCCAGCCAATTGTATAGAATCCCTGCAATCAGATCTCTCTGTCCTCGGCTCACAGCAGCATTGCTCAAACATCTCAGTTGTCCATATCAGGAGCTCCAAAATGGGGTGTAATATCCATCTTCTGGAAAAACTTATTCTTCCCTCACCCTCCCCTTTACCAGCCTAATAAAGTTACTTCCAGCTACGATGGGAAGAAAACATTTAAGGCCCAGATTTACCTCCATCCCACATAAATATTGAGTTGTCTCATTTTGTATGTTATTTACATCAAAGATGTTGAGAACAGTGATTGTAGATATTTGCAGTAGCTCCTAGAGGAGCATTTAATAAAGCACCTAAATCATGGGCGTTTTAGTTGCACTGACACTAAGAACATAAGAACGGCCATACTGGGTCAGACCAAAGGTCCAGCTAGCCCAGTATCCTGTCTTCCGACAGTGGCCAATGCCTGGTGCCCCGGAGGGAATGAACAGAACAGGCAATCATCAAGTGATCCACCATCCCCTATCACCCATTTCCAGCTTCTGGCAAACAGAGGCTAGGGACCCCATCCCTGCCCATCCTGGCTAGATGAACCACTGTTTGAGTACCAAGCTACATGTTAAGGTGCCTAAACATTCAAAGCCAAATAAGAAAACATTTCTTTCAAGGTGGTCTTGTTCTGAGGTGGGACAATATTTGAACCACAGGGGCAGGACACTTCAGATACAGGAGATCTCCATCCAAATTTGGATTGGCTTGTGTTTTGGGGGTGAATGTGGGTGAATAATAGTTATGTCTAACAAGTCATGGATTCTCCACATGGAAGAAAGGCATTTAGGTACATGTTCCCTTCTGAGGCCTCACTTTACTCAGATGGAATAAATTAGCAGCTACAGCTCAGATCTCTCATTGAATCAGATTTCATAGATGTATAGGACTGGAAGGGACCTCAATAGGTCACCTAATACAGTCCCTGGCACTCATGGCCAGACTAAGAAGAATATTATCTAGACCACCCCTGGCAGATGTTTGTCTAACTTGCTCTTAAAAACCTCCAATGATGGAGATTCCACAACCTCCCTAGGCAATTTATTCCACTGCTTAACCACCCTGACAGTTAGGAAGCTTTTCCTAATGTCCACCTAAACCGCCCTTTCTGCAATTTAAGCCCATTGCTTCTTGTGCTATCCTCAGAGGTTAACAAGAACAATTTACCTCCCTCCTCCTTGTAACAATCTTTTATGTACTTGAAAACTATTATAATGTCCCCCTCAGTCTCCTCTTCTCCAGATTAAATAAACCCAATTTTTTCTACCTTCCCTCATAGATCATGTTTTCTAGACCTTTAATCATTTTTTGTTGGTCTTCTCTGGACTTTCTCCAACTTGGGCACATCTTTCCTGAAATGTGGCACCTAGAAATGGACACAATACTCCAGCTAAGGCCTAATCAGCCTGGAGTAGAGCGGAAGAATTACTTCTTGTGTCTTGCTTACAACACTCCTGCTAATACGTCCCAGCATGATGCTTGCTTTTTTTTGCAAAAGTACTACACTGCTGACTCATATTTCTGTTCCTCTGAGCCCTTTGTCCTGTTTATAATGTTATGGGTTGGGCTAAACCCCATAAAAGTTGGTGGGTCTAACAGCTGCCTTTCATTCAGGATCAATGGGAAAAGTAACTGAGCTCCTTCATGTAACCATGTAGCTGAAACAATAGCATTTTCCACCAATAACACAAGCAAATGATAAGGCCCAAGAAAAAGGCACATGTGAGGCATATGTGGGCAGAGAGGTTTCAGTGGGTATTGTTTCAGTAGAGGTGTATATGTGAGAGGAAAGGCAGGAAGAACAAAGCAGTAACAGACACAGATAAGAAGCAGAAAGTGAAGGACACATCCTGAATAGACACTGGGAGCGTGGCCTGGAGAAAAAGCCTAGAGCAAAACTTTTCTGGACTGAATGTTAGCTGAAAGAGGCTTGCGACTGTGCAAAAAGAAACTATTTCCTCTTGTTTGATTCTTCCTGTATTCAGAGATACATGACTTTGTACAGTCTTTGTAAGTAAACAGGATTGCATCAAAGAAATAGCTGACTCCAACATCAATTTTTCCTCCTAATAAATAACCTGCAGGACCCCAAATTTGGCTGACCGCTCAGGTCTGAAAGGGGTAAACATTAACTTGCATTTTTATATTATCGCCTCTTACATCTCTCTTAAGAGCCAATACTATTTTATCCTGCTAATTTTGAGAAAAGGGAGCAGCGGTCTTTGAAAGAAAGGTATTTTGACATTGGTAACATGTCAATTTCAGTTACCTGCAAATCTTCGGGCTTTTCTGAGCACTGAAACAAAGGTACAAAAACAGCTGAAGACTTGTCCAAATACATGCCATCTTAATATAATACAACTTGGTACCACTGAAAAAAATCTTTGTTAAACCCAAATCAGAAATCTGAATGCTCCAATCCTTACAAGAACACTGTGGTGTCAAACTATGGTGACTACCTGTTTTTCTGAGTACTTTATCTCAAAAATGCCTTCTCAATACCCTCAAATTCACTCATATTTCCTCTGCCCAAAGACGATGCATCCTAAGTATAAAGCTATACCTTTCATGTATAAAGCTATATCTATATAATACCTTTCAACTGGTATATTAGAAATGGGGAGAGAATCATGCTTATAATGGACAGGAATATTCAGTCTTAACTAGGGAGTGGCTGCTTTTTCATAATAATAGAGGAAAATGGAACTTACCAAATCCTGAAAGATATTTTTCTGAAACAAAAAACAAGACCAGAAATGAATAATACTGGAAAGAAAGACATTCTAGCACTGTGTCTACTGCTATTTTTAATTAGCTAAATTACCTAACATCTGATTTACTTGATAAGTGGTTCAAAGATACATTCACCCTTTTGCAGTGGGCCACCAATATAATGCATCGCTTAAATCAAAATAAGGTTTAAGTGGGCTTCAAGCAGTGCATGGGTCTGTGAGGTGACCTCTCTCCACAGAAGTCAATTTCACCTTCTAAGATTTCCAGTTGCGGAGATACAGTGCACACATTTAAAAAGTGCATTCAGGTTTTACAGGGATTACCGGTTCCAGTGATATTCCCTATGCTTAAAATGGGGGATACCACGGACAGAGGTAATGGCCAGATTCATTGCAATGCTTAACCTGTAGGTGGCCTGGTGCCTTGAGGAATTCTCAGCCCTGAGTTGAGTTTGAGGTAGGTTGCTCTGGTAGTTTTAAAGTTATACAAGTTTATATCATATTCACTCCAGTGATGTCCTGGCTTACTAACAGAAAGGATCTTCAATGAAAACTAAACACACAACCTATCTTTCCTTAGGTGTACAGCCATGGAAAGAAAGCTGCGTTAGCAAACATGTGTAATAAGCAGTTTCCGAAAGCGCATCCGAGCAGCAGCAATTGTGCTTATTTGATAGATTTAACCAGCTCCAATCAGAATATTTGATATCTCTAATTTTTCTCTGTAATGTTTCCTCTCTATCAGGGAAACATTCACTTTTGGTTTACTTAAAAACACCTCTTCTACCAGAGATACAAAGATAAACTTTTATTACTTTTTCTTCATTTTAGAGACACACTGAGGTAAATGAAATTTACCTTTCTCTTTCTCCACTTGAAATCGTAGTTTTTCTAGAGGAAGAAGAGAATGAAATATGAGATTCCACGTTGTCATATTTTTGGTGATATTCCTAGCGTTATTTCATATAATTATGCTAAAATTATTAAAGACAATGTGAGACAGAAAGATTGAAAATCTTTCTCCTATTAAAGACAGGATACTGAACTAGATAGGCACATATCTAATCCAATATGTCCATTCCTGTTTCCTATGTTCCTATGAAATAAGGACAGACACAAGTTGATCTTTCTGTGGAAGCCCAATTGCAATTTATCAAAATTAAAAACATTATAAAATAGACTTTTTTTATCTTTTCCCTAAAATCAGGACCATAAATACTGCTTGTACAAAGTCTCATTCTAATAATTGTTTGCAGTGTTGATCTTACAAGATGGGTTGGTCCAATAAAAGATATTACCTCACCCACCATGTCATCACAGACATGGACCAACCCCACAAGTTTGGGGTATTTTTTTTACATAAGGAGGTTTTGTTATACTATTTACTGAAGCCTTCAACTTTTACTGTTCAGAGGATGTTCTTTTAGTGAAAATTTGACAACCAATTGGCAATTAAATGGGTGATAAAGGGCTGCAGAGGGAGAGTGGTGGTCTTTGTCTCCTAGTTTGGTAATTGTGGTGTATTAGGACAGTGAAACCCCACAGCAGAGATTGATGAAGCTAGCCAGTGCTACTCTTGGCCTCCCTAGGAGTGTTTTCTGTTTTATGATCTTAGTCTGCAGATCAAACTATTGTAGGCTGTGTGGCCAAGTAAGTTTCTGGAGAATCAGAGGTGACCAGAAGCTGGGAATGGGCGACAGGGGATGGATCACTTTGATTACTTGGATCACGGTGGTTACCTTTTCTGTTCATTCCCGCTGAGGCACCTGGCATTGGCCACTGTTGGAAGACAGGACACTGGGCTAGATGGACTTTGGTCTGACCCAGTCTGGCTGTTCTTATGACCGTGAAATTTGCTGCTTATCAGCTAGAGCAAGAAGCAGCCTACAATTAGAAAATTGGCCATGGCCAACCCCTTGCCATAAGAACTATTCTTTGATTTCACTGCATTTATTAGCATTGATATAGTCAATAAATCTGTGGTCTATGTGCCATGCTTTCCAATCAGAGTGTGAGGACCCTCCTTACTGTATCCTGGGTAAAGTCTTTTCTATCTGATCGTTCAGATAAACCCCAGCTTGGAGTTTGTCAGCTCCTGGGTACGCAGACTGAGCTTCTAGAGGGCTTTACTAAAAGGACTACAACTGTAATGGCTACCAAGTCCCTCTGACCGTGCTTCCAAGCATTCTTGGAGTCATGAGTGTGGACAATAGGGACTGAAACCCATGTTGAGGCCAGTAGCAAGGCATCTGCATGGGTAGGGTGACCATATGTCTTGTTTTGGCCAGGACAGTCCCTTTTTTAAGCCCTGTCCCTGCCGTCCCAACTTTTTTGGCAAAAGTGGGAACTTGTCCCATTTGCTCAGTTGGCAAGAACACACAGAACAAACACTCTCTTTTGTCAAAAAAGTGGGGTGGGGAGCAACAAGGGGGGAGTGCTGATGCCAGCCCCATGCAGGGGGGAGGCAGGGCTTGGGTGAGCAGTGACACCAGCCCCACCCGGGGAGGCAGGGCAGGGTTTGGGCGAGTGGTACAGGCCAGCTCTGTGTGGGGAGGGGGCGTCGGGTGAGCAGTTTGGGCCAGCCCTGCGGGGGAGGAGAGAGGGTTTGGGCTAGCCCCATGTGGTGTCCTGTTTTCACTTTGGGAAATATAGTCACCATCTGCATAGGATGATCAGGACGTGCAGTCCACTGGCCCAGTGATGCCAGTGCCACACAGCCCCTGGCCTGGGGACAGCCTGACTTAAGTTTACACACAGAGTTTAGGACCATTTCAGCTTTGGGTTTGGAAGGAAGCTGGGAGAGAGACAGTGCAGCTCAGAGAGCTCCTGCTAAACTCCCAGTCCCCCCGATGGAGTCCCTGCTCCTCTGTGACATCTAGCTGCATGGATAAGGCATTCCCAGAACTGCAGTGACTGGCATCCAGCAGAGAGAGATCCAACCCAGCGTCAGCTCCAGAGAGACGGCCGAGACTCCGGGAGAATTCCAGATGGAGAGAATACCTGTGCCTGGTTGGCATCAGGAGAGGACCCTCCCCACCCAGGGGTGAAGATAAACTAAGGGAACTTTTATTTAAGCTGGACAATACTCCAGCGCTGCAACACTCCATCTTGGGACACCCAACCTCAGCCTGCAGTGCTGGGAAGGTGCCAGGGTGGGAGCTGTTAATCTATCCAACCACACACTTACCCCAGCAGAAGAGTCTGTCCTATCTCAAGTATCAGAGGGGTAGCCGTGTTAGTCTGAATCTGTAAAAAGCAACAGAGGGTCCTGTGGCACCTTTGAGACTAACAGAAGTACTGGGAGCATAAGCTTTCGTGGGTAAGAACCTCACTTCTTCAGAACTCTCTTTCTGCCCCACCAACCCCACGGACACAATACAGTTCTGCGATGATCTGGAAGCCTACTTTCACTGTCTTTGAAAATATTCCTTGAGTCAACACACCACTGAACAGTGCACTGACCCACAGGAACCCTCTTACCAACACTACAAGAAGAAAAAGAAGTCTGCTTGGACTCCTCCTGACGGTCGAAATGACAGACTGGACCTCTACATAAGGTGCTTCCACAGACGTGCACAGGCTGAAATTGTGAACAAACAACATCACTTGTCCCATAACCTCAGCCGTACAGAACGCAATGCCATCCACAGCCTCAGAAACAACTCTGACATTATCATCAAAGGGGCTGACAAAGGAG